AAACTATCGGCCAGCTATCGATTAGATGATTGCTTGATGATATTTGGTTTATATTTTTGATTTTGACCAGTGATTATTATTTATGCAATATACTTTGCTTAAGTACACTTATGCTCGCGTATATTTTTGATGACTAATCAGTATGATTTCTGATTACATCAAAAAGTATATTATAGTATCTGGTATTAGAATTTTAATATCGAAAAAATTAGCTCCAAAATAGTTTCTAAACTAAAAGTTTAGAGCACAACTAGTTACTAGTTACTAATGTAGTTACTAATGGTAACCTACTATTTCTTCAATTAAATTTTATGAATTTGAAAGAATACTAAAAAGTGATAAGTTATGTTTTAAGAACATATGATAATTAAGAATATTAAGATCTAAATAATGATTTCTTTCATCCGAAAATAGCCCTCTATTAGGAACAGAAGAGGCCGGAATTGACAAGTATTTCCTTGCAAGTTTTGATATTGTAGGAAACAAATTTTTATTCTCACTCCACCATCTCAAAGGATTATTATCCTCAGTTACAGGCAATTAAGGTAATTCAAAGTATTTATCAAATTCCGTTTGTCCATTTTCTTGAATAAATATATGAAAAAATATCAACATTTTCGAATCTGAACCTAAAGTATTAGAAGTTGCTAGTTATTTAAAATTTGGTATCAAAGTTCCTATATAAAAAATAAATGTATTACTTTATTTTATTCTTAATGACATTCAAAAAATTAAAAGTACTATTTACACTATCAATATAAAGCAGCTTTTTGAAACGAGAATCAAAAAAAGACCCATATAGTCCAAGAGTTGAAGGCACTTCAAAGTTCTTTTTAAGATTGTCTAGTATAGTATTTATTATCTGTCGAATGACATCATTTTTAAGTTGATAAATATTAAGACGTTGTCTAAGATTTTCAATTGCTGGGGTCATAAAACTTAATGAAGGATATTTTGAACCTTTCAACATTTTAGTTAATTCATAGAATAGGCTTAAAATAATATCAAGTTCTCTACATATATCAAATTCAACATCAGATAGTATATTTTCTTTTAGTTTTTCATCATTTCTACTAATATCTAATATATTGTTATTAAAAGTACTAAATAAATATCGAATTGAAGGTTGTAGTATTATTAAACAGTGATTAGCATAATAAATTGAATTTCAATCCTCCTTGACTTTTAATACATCCAGTGGATGTTTAATACTTCGATCAATTTGTTGTTGAATGTCTCTTAAATTTTGACGATTCGTATCATTGTCTAAAATCTCAATCAACTTTTTTGACTTGTTTAAAATGTCATTAGCATATGGCAATTCTGATTCAATGCTAATTTTTAAGATATTTGCCAAACATAGAATAATTTTAATTTGCATTTGTGACAAAGCAGTTTTCATATTATCATTGTCATTAGTAATACTAATAGTTTTTCTTAAGCTAATCCAAATTTAGATAATAGAAGCTAGAATTTTTCAAAAAGTTCCGTTGCAGCATGAGTTCCTGAAAGATTGATCACGTCGAGAACAACGTCAATTAACTTGAAATCACTCGTAATTCAATGACAAGTTATTCCAATGTAAGAGTCTAACCAAACAACTAAAGTAAGTACCACAAACTCCACAGTTTCTATTATTTTATTTTGAATAAGTCTGTTGGTTCGATTATATGCATTAATAATTGTATTTCTTATAGTTTCACTATTGAGAAGTATAAATCTTGAATCAAGTGAACTACAAAACTGGCTAAATTCATTATTATTAACAATTGATAGAGGAAGAGTACAAGAGAGAATCATTCGAATTAGATTATGACTTTGTGTTAAATGTTGTGGGTATGAATTAAGATTATCAGAGATTTTTCTTTTCTTTTGAGAAGAAAAAGCATCTAAATTATCTGAATTTTTTCTCATTTTAATCATCTTTATTATATATTCTATTTTTAAATTTTCAGGTAGGCATGACCATAATTTTAAAATAATATTTGAAATTTCTTTACTACTTAAATTTGAAAACTTAACAGAAATAATGTCACGCACTTCAATTGAAAATAAAAAAAAGGGAACGAAACTTTTATTTTTGCTTTCATGATCGAATAACATGTCTACCATTTTTGAGAAATTTAACATTTAACATTTATTAAAAAAATAAAAAGTATTAAGTGAATTGCTTAGTTAAGAATTGTAATATATATACAATTTTTTTTGATTTTCAATTATTAAATTACTTATTATAATTTAAAATAATTGTATTTTTTGAATTCATTCTGGTTCATATTATCTTTTTAAGAATTCATAATTGATAATAAAAACAATAGCAATTAATTCAGTAATTGATATCAAAAAATTATATATACACAATGCAATTAAAATTCTCAATTAATTTTTTTAATTCAAAGAATTCTATCAATTACTCAATTATAAAGATATTATGTCAGATACTATTTTGCATATTCTCATGTGAAATTGTGGAAATTTTTGTGATCTGATTTTATTTCAGGTACTGAGAAATTAACAAATGATAAGTTTTGCGATTTTTATATTATAAAAAATTTATATTAACTCATAAGAAAATACAAATATCAAAGGATTATACTGTACAATTTTATTGGTACAACATATTTCATTCTTAAATTAGTTAGATTTAAATTTTTTTTAGGTCAATTTAGTCCTTTCAGCTAGAGATGTGAACTGTGAATTACAATACATATAAATAAACTGTAGTTTATTTTAAAACTACAGTTAACTACAGTTTT